TTGCTTATTTATTTTTCTCCAATTTTTTTTTCTGCTTCTTTTTTTTGCAATTTTGTTTATTCATCTTAAGTTTAAAAAATTTATTCATTAATTTGTTATCTAAAAAGTGAAATAATATCGATTTGTCTCACATTTCTTCAAACGGATTACTGAGTGCAGTTTTGGTTGGAAAAAAGAGCAGAAAAGCAGAAAAAGTAAATTTGGTGTCTTATTTCTTATTTGATCTATCATTTGAAGAAAACACCAATGGCAAATGAAAAAAAGAAGACAACAAAAATAATGGAAAAAAAAGTGGAAAAATAATGAAATGCTAAAAAATTTCCTAATTTTTCTCACTTATTTTTGTTAGCTGTGATTATCAAACGGAAAAAAAATAAACCAAAAATATTTGTTTTATATATTTTTTTTTGCTTTTTAGTTTTTTGTTGCTATTCCTATCATTACTCAAAACCACTTTCTTGTCATCTCCTTGTTTCTTATCCTTCACCATAATCACCATCTCCTCCTTCTCCTTCTCTTCTCCTCAGTTTTATTTTTTATCCGTTTATTTTTTATCCGCTGATCATACTGTTCTACTCTTCCCCCCCCCTCTTCGTGTTGGTGGATAAAAAGCGGGGAAAAAATTGAGCCTGAATGCTGAAGTTTTAATTCCCTATAAAGAGGCATTAGATAACTGGGTTGGCGCTGTTTCAGAATCCTTTATTTAATTTTTTTTTTCATTTATTTATACTCTTTCATCTAGTTTTTTCCCCTCTCCCCCTCCCTTCTCTTTAGTTCAAAGCCTGCGTAGGGTAGGGCATTTGAACGTAACCGGAACATTGCAAAAAGATCTCAGGATGGCACACAAGCAGCGAATGTGAAACAGACTGTGTAGGTGGAGTAAATTAGCTAGAATCAGAGCGTTCATTAGAATAAAAAAAAAATTAGCGATAGGAAATTGAAAATGTTAAAAGTTTAAGCCGAAATGCCTGCGTTTAACTCGGCACTAATAAAAAAAAAAAGAAAAGAAAAAAATAGAAAGAAAGGAAGAAAAAAAAGCAAAAAGGAAAAAAACTCCAGAGACTGCATTTGTTCTTTGATCATTGAG